AATGATTTTTTGAACAAATTCATAGATGGCTTGAACCTGCACAGTGATCCCAAATTCCTAGATGGCTTGAACCTGCACAGTGATCCAGGAACACTTTAAAAATAATTAAAATTAAAAAGGATTTTAAGTGTGCTTTAGTTGAGACCTACTTCATACAATTTTATTTATTTGGTGTGAAATTATGACAAATGCGAATGCACTGCTAGTAACTAGTCAGGTAGGCTGCAGCACTCCATTGAAGAAAAACTTTTCATACTTTTTTTTTCTCATATTGCAATGATGCGGGATGGTAGGCAGGGATGGACCAGCTGTATGGATAGTCGTCCGAAAAGTTGGAAGAGATACCTGAAGAGAGGAGATGGGAAAACGCTTGTTACTTCTGTTCAAATCTAAAATGTTAAGATGTGTTTTTAGACAGAAAAAAACACTGCAGTTTCAGAGAAAAACACACTTGCAGTATGTATTCTTCATGTCTGTTTATTTCACTCATCTTACCAGGATGGAAGATCTTGCCCACAGACATGGTGAAGTAACCTCTGGATTTGAAGTACTGGGGAAGAGTGGTGTAGTTTCCAGACTGGTCTCTCCAGTAGGATGTGAAGTCATAGACCCTGGTTGTGTCTGGTCTGCGGCTGGTTAACATGGAGGCACGACTGGGTGCACACAACGCTTGCTAGGTAATGGACAAAATAATACCAATTTAATACAATGTTGTTGGTTACATTTTTTTACAAACACAGCCAGACTTGACCCACCTGTGCATAGGCGTTGAGAAACACCTGGCTTTTGGATGCCAGTTGGTCAATATTGGGTGATTTAGCCACTTGGTCTCCATAGCAGCCCAGTGACGTCCGCAGGTCATCTGCCATGATGAAGAGAACATTTCTCCTCTCTGAAACCAAACCAAACGTTATTTAAATATGTGGTTCTTCTGTTGTTTTACTGTTTAGTTACCTGTGAGCAATATAATAGATTTAGTTTAGTTCAAATAGCCTGATAATTCTGTTCACCTCGTACAAATTATAACGTTATCGCTAAAGATACTTGAGATGATGGAGCATTCAGACCCATCAAGCCTCACCGGGGTCAGGTTTTTCTATCGGTTTAAAAATCGTTACGCCTAAGGCACAAAACACATTTGTATGTATGAACTTTTTCTGCAGACACTGGCAGGCGAAAACTTTAAATGATCTAATAAAAAACAGGCCACATTTTAAAAAAAGCAGGAACAAAGAAGCCGCTTCAGCGACACAGTGACGTTAATTACGGCCGAGAAACTTGGACCACGGTTCTTTAATAAAGACCATAACGACTTAATGGGGCATCAATTACTGCGAATGTCAACTAGTTAGCTCAGAATTATGATCGACACTGCTAACAGCCTCACTCGACCCAGTGAAGCTCCTCTTCATAGGTGGAACTAACTTTATGAAACAACGGAAAATGTATGTTTGTAAAGACAGAGCTTTTACATTAAAAAAAAGCTCGTTAAAGTTTGGGAGTAAGTTTTACCTCTTCTTGCGCAAACAGCGAGCAGCAGTGTACAAAGAATCACGAGATAAAAGGTCTTCATCGCGGATCGGTTTTAGTGACGATAGCCGCAGTGTCCACTTATTAGTCCCAGCGTTAACCCGAATCAAAACACTAGTTTACCGTAGCTCTGTCATCTTTAAATAACTTCCTGAATCTGGCGTCACTCAGAAAACCGGGATTTCATTGGCTGGTCTTTGCTACTGTCCCGCCCCTAAGATGATAATCACATTAGTTAAAAAAATGTATATTGTTTTATATACAGTTTTGTATTAGCATATTCGATGTTAAAAATAAGGATAATTGTACAGTGATCAGTGCGTCAGTTATTTTAATAGTTTGCGTTTATTTATGCGATTGTAAGTAAGGATATCCTCAAAACACAATGTAGTAACGTTAACCATACATTTTTCATACTTTATCTGTTTCGGGCCAATAAAACTTTTTTATCTTGAATCTTTACCAGTTTAAAATGAATAGGATTCAAGATATAAATAAATATGGATTTAAAAAAATATATATATATTAAGGAAATAAAAACAGATTCTAAAAAAGACAACATTCCAAAGCATGAATTTATAAAAACAACATAATTAAAAGTGTAATTATTGTGTACTTGAAAGTGACCAACTAAAACAGATGAATTATGAAAAACTAAAAGGGTTATGATCGTAATAAATGGCAAAATTGACCGGAGATAAGTGTTTCGTTAAGTTGAAGATGTTCTTCTGCCCTGAGGGTGGCAGTAGTGCTCCTCCTACAGCATCGCGTCTGCCGGAAATTACGAAACAGGAAGTTACAAGTTTCTGTATACAAACATGGCGGACACAACAGTGAAACGTGAACGGGGAAGCGAAGAAACAAATGAATTACATTGTGAAGTAAAAAAGACAAAAGTCGACGATAACAATGGTGGAGATGGTGTTGGCGCGAAGAGTCAAAATGCTTTGTCTGGATTTAAAACATCCAACGTACTGAGTGTAAATGCCCGAGAAAAGAGAATCGTCCTCCACGGAAAGGTCGGTTTTTGTTTACGATGGTTTTAGTTCTATTTTCCCCGCGCAAATGTGTATCGTTTTGTGCAAAATTAACTAATTTCACCCAATTCTACTTACAGTCCTTTGTTATATTTTTCACGCGTGTGTATATAACAATGAAAACTAGGTTAAAACACAGTTTAATATTTGTATATTAACATAGCTGTGCATCTACCTGTAGCATTTACACATCTGTATGGATGTAGAGAAGGAACTGACTTATATTGCACATACACATGAGGAACAAACACTCAAACTTCAATACATTATTCTATTTTGAGTTGTGTGCTTAATTTCTACCGTGTTTTCCTCCATCCCACTAGAATAGAATAGTCTTTATCGTCATTGTAACACGGGGGTACAACGAAATTGAGGCCTGCACATTCAGCCCTCACGGTGGCTGCAGATTTATTTTTCTGTCTATGTATCTGAAGATAAGCATGTGACATTAACCATTACATTTTTAAATTAATGTTAACCTGACACTGAAGTCCAACTTGATGATTTTACATTTTACAGTTAGCTGATGAAGATGCTGTGGTTATTCTGGAGAAGACCCCCTTCACAGAGGACACAATGGATCAGGTCTTCAAAGGTTCCACCCTCAAGCTGGACATGAAAAACTACATCTATAGCACATACCAGCTGCAGGCCTCTCCTCACTACAATGGTATGGACCAAGACACGTAAAGCCCTGCTGCCTATGTTTCTACCTGAGTGAATGGACAAAACATAACTCGTGTTTATTCACAGAGATAAAGACTACATTGGTGTGTCCAGCCACAGAGAAGCACATCAGCAAATACAAACACCAGGAGAGTTTTTTCGTGGAAGAGACAAAGAAAGACTATGAGACTATCACCCTTCCATTTATTGAGGATCAGACAACTTTCAGCCTGGAGGTCAGTCTCTTGAATTGTATCCTTGTTTACAGTGTGAACAATTTAATTTAAAAAAAAATCCAATTTCTGCTATTGTTTATCCCTCAGTGGGTATACAACATCCTGCAAAAGAAGGCAGAGGTTGAGAGGATAGTTTATGAAGATCCAGACCCAGACACAGGTTTTATTCTTCTCCCCGATTTCAAATGGAACCAAAAACAGGTAAGAGGTCAATGGTCATATTGACCATTGTACAGAAAGAAAAAACAACTGTTGAGTTTAACCTGCAATTAGGGAAATATAATTGAAATCTTAGAAATTGAGATGTGGTTGATGCCAGTTGTCAGTGGGAATTCTGTGGAATTCTAAAGTTTACAGCTGAAACCTCAAGATTCCCTTAAATACTTGGGCTCAGTATAGAAAAATAGTATTCACAGATTTAAAAAAAATCGGGTTTACTGCGGTAAAACAAACTGTGATTCACAGTTTATAGCTTGGACTTTGTTCCAGGTGGATGATTTGTACCTAATTGCCATCGTACATCGGATGAATATCAGAAGCCTGAGAGACTTAACAGCAGAGCATTTGCCACTGCTAGTGAACATCCTTCAGAAAGGGCAGGTAAGGTTATCGTTAGCTGCATGTTTGTTTTGTGCAGGCTGTGTTATCACTCATTACCACAGCAACATTGACTGACGGTGCCTGATGCACTGTTATTCAGATGACCATCCTGGAGCGCTATAGCCTTCCTTCCTCCAAGTTGAGAGTTTATCTGCACTACCAGCCGTCCTACTACCACCTGCACGTCCACTTCACCAAACTGGGCTACGATGCCCCTGGCTGCGGTGTGGAGCGTGCCCATCTCCTCTCTGATGTCATTCAGAACCTCCAGTCTGATCCTCAGTATTACAAAAACAGGACGATGTACTTCCCTTTGAGAGAGGAGGACAAACTGCTCAGCAAATTCAAGGAGGCAGGAAGGCTGTGAAGTGATGACCAGACATGTGATCTACAGAACTGTTTTTCTCAAGGTTCTGCCCAGATGAGAACATAGTGTGACCAAAGTGTTACTGATATGTGACTGACACCTAACTTTTCCATAAATAAAATTCACGCCATTGAAACTTGAAATATTATGTTGATCAGTTTAAAATGCATTTAATTTCTTAAAAATCATGAAACACTTCTTTTAGCAGAACGATACTGAAATTGGTAACAAATATTTTTGTAGAATCAACATTCATTTTTGTTTAAATAAACTTTTTTCTATATAACACTGGATTTATGTGGATTTAATCGGCGTTTAACGTCACGTTGTCATATGGCTGGTATACATTGTCCTGTAGATGGCAGCGTAACTGATTACGTTAGTCTTTATGTCGTAATAAAAACGTTAAAAAATTCGTTATAAGTATATACGAAATATTTTTAGTTTAGAATGAAATTAATATCGATTTTTGTAAGTAATATAAAACAAATGTGTGGGTTTTATGTTTGTCCACTTTATGGGGAGAGCAGTGTTTGCTATCACTTTAGTGTTTTTATTTCATAATACAAAGAAAACATTTACTAGTATTTTTATGTAAAATGTCTTTATTAAAAAAATAGAATTAATGTTAAATATTTCATTTATTTAAAATTGGTAACGTTTGGTGTTCCTTAACGTCCACTAGAGGGCAGTCAACAGCAGTTGCTGTCACGTCCGTTTATTTCCCGTAAAATAAAGAAACAATAATTGTTGTCATTTAACATTTAGACAGTTCTCCGATACATCTTTATATTTACAACAGGCGGTGTTTTAGCTAGAAAAAAAGAATCCAAACAAAACATGAAACAAAATCTGAGTTTTCTTTGCTCTCTGTTGCTCTAGGGAAATTTTGGTTCAATATGACATTTCAAGTTCTCTCTGTTTATTAAGTCATGTCATCTGTTTATAACATTATGGTGTAATATTAATCCAGCAAGTCTCCAGTTAAGTTAAGTTACTGCTCTTATTTTGTCTGGCTCCTGATATGCACAAGGACAAAACACATTCTTTAAAAATGTTTTCTTTTCTTCCCAGGTCTGACCCATGGGGTCGCTGCTGAGCTGATTGGATGACAAAACCAAAATCACACGATTTTAACCTTTCTAAATATTGGGGGCGAAGGTAAGTGAGTTTTCGTGCAAAATTACGTCACCATTTACGTGTGCGCATTCATGCAACTGCCCCCTCACTAACTCATTGTGTTCGAGCTTTGATGCTCATGATCAAAGTGAGTTATATATCAAAGCCAAAGTAATACATATTTTTTAAATGTACCTCTGTAAGGAAGTGATAGATCAAACGTTACTTTTATAATTCTATACACGAATATAATTTTATACATAAAATACGAATTCTGAATGTAGTGATAGATATATTTACTTCCCTGTGGGACATCCGGTCCATCTAAGTTCGCTTTCACGGCGTTAATATCTGCGTAACACATCTTGAACGCGTTCAAATATTTCTTTTAGAATTTACGACGATATCTTACTATTTTAAGACAAATTGACTAAAATATCCATTTTCACAGAAACACTACAAATAGTATTGGAAATAGGAAAACAAAACAGATTAGGTCTATCAAAACGTGTAGACAAAAACCTTTGGAGCTAAATATTCTGAATTACTTAGACACAACACAGTCCGACGCTTGATAATGACGTCATATATAATTAGTCAAAACCGTTAATGACAGTTAAACATGTCACAGTAGTTGAATTTGGGCAACTGGTGTAGTTATAACATCTGCCTGAGAACTTTTTTGTTTTTATCCTCGTATTTACAGTTTATCTACACACCCACTCGTGAACAGGAGGCGTGAACATAACAAGAAACGAAACAGAACCAGGCGGTGTATGACACCGACTGCTCAGATAATCATGGCAGGAAAAGGGACTAAACGGGGTTTAGATAGCGACGACAACGAGTTCTCTCCAAACGTCAAGAAGGCAAAAGTTGAAAGTGATGACGTAGCAGTTGAAGCTGTATGCGAGAATATTATATCAAGATTTAAAATGTCCAACGTCCTGAGTGTAAATGCCCGGGAGAAAAAAATCATCGTCAATGGAAAGGTTAGTTTGTATTGAAACGTTTGCTAACCATTTAAAAGTAGGCGCGGCCATTTAATATCGTGTCACCGTTAGTTCTGAATCTAAGGTTTGTTTATAACATATTTATAAAAAGAGAGTGACATTATTAATGATGTTGCCGCTGGTGAAAGAGTGACTACATTATTAATGATGTTGCCGCTGGTGAGCTTTAAATTTAACCTCGAATCTCTCCCCCAATAGTTATCATTTACGAAACCTCTGAGAATTATTTCCATATCATAAAAGGAGTTACAGCAAACAGTTTAATTCACTTATTAGTATAAGTTGTACTTTACAAAAGACAGTTCCTGAACTATGGTGGAAGACCCCTTTTTCTGTGAATTTACTCAACTGTATCGTCATTTTACAAAATACACAGTGGTTGTGGTTATTAAACTGGGGCTGGGGCCAACAGAGGTACTTGGGCTTTCTAATGGTACCACAAATATTGTTTTTATTAATATTATATTATTAAAATATTAACCACACCCACAGTAGACAAGAATATATAACAGCCTTATTTAACATCCAGGTTATACACCAAACCATTAGCAAAACCAAAGCCTGTGTACCACTGGAGTTCCATGTACCATAGTTTGACAACCACTGCTGAAATGCAGTCTGTTTTACAGGTTTGGAGTCTTTGTTTAGCCACTTAAATGGAGGATTTTGTTTTCTGATAAATTCCTCCATTTTAGTCTAAACATTCCTGCGACGGTGGTTGTTGTTTTTTTCCCCCCAGAATAATCTTTTTTTTTTCATTTGAAAAGGGATGTTGTTTTGTAAAGGTGTAACGATTTTCATAGGTTTAATTCAAATTTAGATAAAATTCAGAATCTTGCTCTGGTGTCAATCTTGATACATTTTAAATCATTACCAGAATTTTTTTTTTTTTTTTGAGAAATCGGTGACACAGCAGTTTATAAATAATTTTCTGGTCATTTTTAACCTCATGTTTGATGTCCCAGGTTTAAAACGCATGGTGCTTTTTTTCATAGATGGTTGTCTCTCAAATGAGCTGATTTAGAAATACCCACAATGGATGATTTATAAAAAAATAAAGATGTGAATGTCAACCAGCTGTTGCTACCACTACAACCACAGATCGAGAAGCTTTATGTTGTGACATGTTCTGACCTATCGTGACCTGACTTATCAAAGCTCGTTTCTTCAGGTAAAGGTAATTAACATATCTATTCCAGTTAGCTGATCAGGATGCTGTGGTTATTCTGGAAAAGACCCCGTTCACAGAGGACACTCTGGCTGAGATGTTTAATGGTTCCACGGTGAAGCCCGACATGACAAACTACATCTACAGCACGTACCACCTCCAGGCCTCTCCTCACCTTAACGGTACGGTCGCACGTGAGTGAAGTGGAGCTCCAATGTTGACTGCAGGAATTGAATAACATCCACGTCCACTTGCAGAGATTAAGACCACGTTGGTGTGTCCGGTCACCAAGAATCGCATCCGCAAATACATCGATCAGGAGAGTGTCCTAGTGGAGGAGACGAGGATAGACTATGAATATATCACACTGCCGTTCATTGAAAAGCACAAGAGTTTCTCTTTGCAGGTCAGTTTTTTTAATATATTTTGTGATGTGATTTTTTTTTTTTTAATCTGTGACGCTGACTCTGTTGGTGGTTCTTTTTACCCTGTAGTGGGTGTATAACATCCTTCAGAAGCGGGCAGAGGTTGAAAGAATAGTTTTTGAAGATCCACACCCACAAACTGGCTTTGTTCTCCTGCCTGACTTTAAATGGGACCAAAAACAGGTAGGAAGCTTCACTCAGAGGCATCAGCGTTGTAATAATCAATGGTTGGTTGGCTTTAATTTCTGTTTTGACCTGTGATGACCGGCTGCATTTCCCTCAACAAAATTACACACTTCGGTGTTTGAACACTAGAGGTGTGAAGGCTACGGAGGAAGTGCTTTGTAATAGATTATGATTTGTTTGTCATTGATGTGGATGAGGCCTTTGCCTGGTGCGCAGTCATCATACACAAAATTTGTATTTATGTTTTGTTTCGTTTTTTTGTCTGACAATACATGCTGTCTGATGGCTGTGTTTTGATAGGCACCTTTAAATAAATTCATTATTATTATTATTATTATTATTATTATTACTAGATCACTGGACTGAACGCGTTCACTGTGTCTGCCTTTCTCTGACAGGAGGATGATCTGTACCTGATTGCCATCATTCGTCGAAGGAACATCAGGACCCTGAGGGACCTGACGGCACAACACATACCTATGCTGATGAATGTCTTCTGCAAAGGACAGGTGAGGTGGTAAACAACATCTGCAGCACACTCTAACAACAGGCCAAATTAACATTGACTTGATAACACGTTGTGATTAAGATGGCTGTCTTGGAGCACTACAGCCTTCCTGCCAGTAAGCTGAGAGTTTACGTGCACTACCAGCCCGCCTTCTACCACCTCCACATCCACTTCACCAAGCTGGGCTTCAACCCTCCAAGCTGTGGCGTGGAACGCTCCCACCTCCTCGCTGATGTCATTCAGAACCTCCAGTGTGACTCTTATTATTACCAAAAACGGACAATGTACTACCCTCTACGAGAGGACAGCAATCTGCTCAGCAAGTTTAAGGCAGCTGGAAGAGTGTGACGTGCTGAGAGCACAGACACTCTCTGCCTCCATCGGTACCAGTCACTGGTCTTCTTAACCACTCCTCTCTCATCCAGGAGCAGGTTTTCTTCAGAGACCTCACTTTATGGAAAGTCAAATCACTGTATGTGTGGATGGTAACTCCACAAGATCTAGTAGTGATGGATGTGAAAAGGCGTAAAACCACTGATCCCAAAGGTCGCTCGCGGTCAGGCAGCAGTGTGTCGATGTTGCCATGGCCACTATATCCGATTACATGATCACCCAACAGTAATTCCACTTGATGGATGGATGTTAATGACCACCTGGTGGCGTCCAGATTTTTGCCCATTGAGGGCAAAGCACAGCCCTGACTTTGCCCCAAAAGGAGTTTTAATTTCAAACTTTGTGTAGTTTACTTTTTATACAAGCTGTGTTTTTTTTTTACAATGTAAATAGTTATGTTCCAGAAGAGACACGTTAGAATGGGGACATAACAATGTAAATAGTTAGTTCCAGGTCTGTGTGAAGAAGAGACACGTTAGAATGGGGACATATATTATTCTGCTTTATAAATAGTCAAATATATTTTCTCTACCCATTTTCTACTGTACTACTTTTTTATTACCATACAGTGTTTTTTTTTTTTTTTTACTGGATCAGTGTTAGGCAAGTGTCTACACTGGAAGATTGTAAAAACTTTTTTTTTTAATATAATTCATGGACTGACGTCGCACCGAAAGTGAAACAGAATCAATGTACAATTCAAAGTGTGTTTATGTTTGATGAGTAAAAACCAGGCACAGGTCACTTGTTACGTTTTGGACCAAAATAAACTGCTGCTGCTGCTAAGTATGTAGCAGTATACAGTTCTATGTAAAAAAGTAATACCTGTGTCCACGCTGTTTTTACAACATACTGCTTCACACGAGGAGATAAAACGGTGTGTGTTCCATAGTTGACAGAAGTTGTTCTCCTGTTCACCAAATTTCCAAACAGGAGATGTGAGTAAACTGTTTATATGGAAATACTTGAGTGTTCTAATCTGATCTAAAGTCACTTGGGTGTTGCTCCCTTTTGTGATTACGGTGCGTTCAGTGGTCATTCGTAAAAAAAGTAAGAAATACTGAACTAATACTACGATCAATCTAAGTTTGAGTAAGCTTTTGGAAGGTTAAATTTAACAGTAGAATAAAGTAGTACTAGAAAAATGCTACAAAAAATTTTAGAACCATAGGAATGACATCGTAAATAGTTATCACACAAACTGGAAAATCCATGAGCGCGAATATGTTTTGTAAACATTTTCAATGATATTTATTTTATGTCAGGTTATCACACAAACTGGAAAATCTATGAGCGCGAATATGTTTTGTTAACATTTTCAATGATATTTATTTTATGTTTTGAAGTTATTTTTTAATTGTTAGCTCGTTATAAGCTGATGATGATAGATGACTTAATCTTTTGATGTTTTTGAAACAGTTTTCAATTGTTTCGTTTTCACAGCGACGTAATGGACCGCAACTGCTACAGTAAGATTGTATTCCGAGCCGTCCCTGAACGCACCGTTGCAGGACTGAGGACGCTGAGGCGAATCCAATCAGTGGACAGAGTCGGAGGAGCAACTGTAACAGTAACAGCAGCAGCAGCAGCGACGCTCATGTCTTGGTTCCAATCTCTGAGAGATGACTTCACTCTGAGGCCGTTTGAGATCCAGCACTCACAGTAAGTTTGACTTTTATTTTAAAAGAAACTAAACTTAACCTGCGGCGCAAAAATGTTGTGTTTACGGATCGATACCCGTGGTTGATGCAGACAGCGCCTCACTTTGTCAGTCATGTGAAGCAGTTGAGGGGGGAGAATCGGTTTGTTTGTTTGTTTGTTTGCTTGTTTGTTTTGTTTGCTCGGAGTCTGTCTGCAGTTGTACTTTCTTGTCATTTCTTCAGACGTCACTTATTCTGCTGTTTGCGAGAGGTTTGAAAAGCTGTGGTGAAGGGGGCGCGGGGGGGGGTTGCTGGGCAACAAGAGTTGTCTTCTCACTCTCCCAGTCATTTCTAACGGATTTTTCTGGAAACTCTCACAAGATGTTGAAATCATCTGAAAGCCCCTACAGTTCAGAACCAATTGTTTACCCGGACTTTGTCATTGTAAACATTCTTAAAAAGGAAACACAGCTCTGGAGTGTTGACTCCATGTGAGTCACGATCCAATGTTCTAGTTCTGTTGGTTGTGTTTTAGGTTAAAATGAGCATAGTGGTGTCCATGAAGAGTGTTTAGTACTTTTGCCTAACAACAGGAAAGTCACAGGTTTGAACCCTGGCTGCTGTTTTTTTCTGTAAATATTTGCATGTTTGTGCATGATGTTTCTTGCTGTGACCCTGTGATCGACAGGTGGATCACTGCTGTCCAGATTGCGTGTGTGTGGGTGTGTGTGTCCTGTCCAATGGCAGCTTTTTGAATATACTGGTGTTTTGCATGTTCCTCCTGGGCAGGCACAGAGGCATTAACTGCAGGACGACTGTTTGATAAATTGATTGTTAATCTTCAGCCTCCTCACAGCAGAATGTTACTGTAATCCAAACCAACATTAAATCTAAAGTGAATCAGATGTTTGAGCTCAGTGCAGCTCTGTCTTGGACCAGTGAGTGGACACTGTAGTTACAGTGGAGTTAGTGCTGGAGGCGGAGCAGGTCAAGGACGGTCCAGATTACACAGTCGTGTGTGTGTGTGTGAGTCCAGATTACACAGTCGTGTGTGTGTAAAAACCTGTGTAATCCTTTGCTCAGACACTGACTTCAGAGTAAGGCCGCGTGGTCCGTCGGTGTGAGGAGATCAAAGACTATTGATCTGTTCTTGATCCTGTGGACACAGTGGAGGACATGTCCACTGTGTCCTAACTGTGAATGTCAATACAGTGGACACATGTCCCTCAGACGGAGGCTCCAGGAGAGTGTGAGGGGCATCAGTCTGTCTGAGGAGCTCGATCCAAGTGCACGTGACTCGTGCACTGTCAGCCGTGCTGATTACAGGGCAGATCAGCTGGCGTGTCACTGGGTCAGTAAACAAACGGTCAGAGGTTTTCCACTGACGTCCTGTTGACTCTTCCTCTCTGAGGGGAAATTGTATTAGAGCAGTCACTGACACATCATTAAACTGTTAGATCTGTCACTGCTGCAGCTCCTGCTGTGGGGAGTGTCTGTCCACTCACAGTGTCCTCTTCACTCTGTGGAGTCTCAGTCAAGTGTGTGTCCTGTGATCAGTTCCCGCCATGTGACTAACTCAGTGAAACCACTTCATCATTTTCCCTTTCTATCTTTCTTTTTTCTTTTTGTTTCTGTGCAGAAAATGTGTAGAAGAAAAAACTCTGGGTTCAATGTAATTTATACAACACATTTAACATGTACTGGTTATTGTTTGACTGAAGATTGGACCAGGTTAAGACAATAACACACAGCACATAGTTACAGTGATGTCGTGTGAGGCTTAAATTCAACTGTCAATCAATTGAATTTTGATTTTTACCATTGACTCCATTAAAGGAAAAACCTACTTTTTCATATAAACATTGTAATTTTTTTATTATTATATTTTTAAAGTGTATTTTTTGTTGATTTATTTTCTTTTATTTACGTGTTTACCTTTTCTTGCAACACTAGAATATTATGCTTTCGATTATTATAAGTACATTTTTAACAGTACCAGAACTAAAGGAACATGTCAAATTTTTTTTTTCTTCCCGGCTATGCTGAACAGTTTTGAAAATAGTTGAGTGCGTGTTTCTTCTCGTCTTGACCTGTCGTGATGGTTTCACTAGTACAGTTTACTAGAACATGTTCTAGTGTGCCGTAGAGAA